CCTGGCTCTGCCTCCCGAGTGCTGGGATTAAAGGCGTGCGCCACCACCGCCCGGCGATGATGAGTTTTATTATCAACTTGATATGACCTAGAGTCACCTGGGAAGCAGAAATCTCAATTGAAGAATCGCCTTGGTCAGATTAACCTGCCGCCATGTCTGTGAGAGACTGTTGTCTTGATTGAGGATTGATGTGAGAGGACCCAGCCCACTGCGGGCGGTGCCATCCCTATACAGTGGTCCTGGGCTGTGTAAGAATCTAGTTAAGCACGAGCCAGTGAACAAGGCAGTAAGTAGTGTTCCTTCATGGTCTGCTTCAGTTCCTACCCAGACTTCCCTCTGTGATGGACCATGGCCTGGATGTGTAAGCTGAAATAAACCCTTTTCTGCCCTAAATTACTTTTGGTTACAGTGTTTCATCACAGCGATAAGACAGACCGCATCTCTGACATGCAAAGACCTTCCCTTCCCTCAGGATCCTTTTTTTTTTTTTTTAGACTTATTTATCTATTTTATGTTATGAGTGTTTTGCCTGTATGTATATGCATTGTGTATGTGCCTGGTACCATGGAGGCCAGAAGAAAGCACAAGCTCTCCTGGGACCGGGATTACAGATGATTGTGAGCCACCTTGTGGGTGCTGGGAATCGAACCTGGGTCCTCTGCAAGAGCAACAAGTGCTCTAAACCACCGAGCCGTCTCTCTAGCCCACCTCGGAAACCTTTAAGAATAGACAGCCTGCCTTGTCTGGTGGGACTGAAGCTTCTTACTTCAGACCCCTCCCCTCCTCTGCCCGCCCACAGCTATGTCAATAAATGTCTCTTCTGAAGGACTGTTTGACCCAACATGTCTCTCTCAAACTTCCCCCAAGCCTAGCATTACTGAGTGACTGCGGGGGGGGGGGGGGGGGGGGCTAGTGCCACTTGATCTCACTAGGACATGCAGGAAACAGTAATTCACTGCCTTCCACAAAGGTGCTTTGGTGGAGAACATTTTCTGTCCTTTGCTTTTTTCCTTTTTTTTTTTTCTGAGCTGAGGACCGAACCCAGGGCCTTGTGCTTACTAGGTAAGTCTGTGGGCAATTTCTTGGTTAATGATTGATATGCAAGGGCCCAGCTCATTGTGGGTGATTCCACCCCTGGGCAGGTGGTCCTGAAGGTCCTTATACAGCCTGGTATGGTTGTATAAGGAAGCAAACCAGGAGGCTGGAAAGATGGCTCAGCAGTTAAGAGCACTGGCTGCTCCTCTAGAGGACTTGGGTTCAATACCCAGCACCCACATGGCAGCTCACAATTGTCTGTAGCTTCAGCTCCAGAAAATCCATCACACTAGGCATGCATATGGTGCATATGTCTGTGCATGCAGGCAAAATACTCACACATAAAATAAAATAAATAATTTAAGAAGAAGGAGAAGGAGAAGGAGAAAAGGAGGAGGAGGAGGAAGAGAAGGAGAAGGAGAAGGAGAAGGAGAAGGAGAAGGAGAAGGAGAAGGAGAAGGAGAAGGAGAAGGAGAAGGAGAAGGAGAAGGAGAAGGAGAAGGA